TTTTGCCGAAATAGTATTTGGAAAGTAATTTTGCAAACAACTACAAATATTTCAGAAAAGATCAATATTTTTACATCTATTTCCTAAAATATGTCTGTATAATTGCAAATTACAATTTTAGTGCAAGATTTCGTCACATAATTTTGTAAATGGCTTCCTATCAGGGACAAAGAATACACAAAAAAACTTCAAATTCAATTTTCTCGCAAATATGCTTGAGAGTTAATTTATCATGCGTTAATAGGGATAATATTATAAAACAATTAAAGTTCGGCGAAATTCAAGAAGATAAATTTCTAATGGCCTCTTTGTGCTAAAAAAAAAAGTATTCAGACGAGGCTGAAGACGTTAAAAAACTCTATAAAAAAAAGAATACAATAGATAAAAAGAGTACAATTGATACTATATTGACACTTTCCGCATCTGAAATTGACAGAATAACGTCAACACATACGTGTGCTCCACGCCGAGATGTGGACACGTGTATGTTGCTATTTGAATTCAAAGGCAAAGTCACGTCTTTGAGCGCGCGAAGAATGTTTATATTTAGTGGTCTATCGTGAACAAACCGATCAGTTCTTCGAGGAGAAGCAAAGCTGCTCGTCAAAAATTCTTTCTATATATTTTCATTTGTATACCTGCTGTTGTGTGAATCAGATTTTGCGAAATGGATGTGCGCATCGATGATTACATATTCAGTAGCATCCTCGGCAAGGGAACGTTTGGGTATGTGTCATTAAAAAATTAATACGTACAAACACATATAAATATGTGTTTTGCAAACAAACACATTCACATTCATATTTGATCTCTTCTACGGAATAAATATACGTGCACTTTGGTTTTTATAGAACTGTGTATTTTGTTAGAAGAAAGAAAGACCTAAAGCCATTTGTTATAAAAGCGCAGGATTTAAAGACGAAATATTCACCGTCCAAGGTACACGCACACAAAGTACTTGGAGTATCGATACTTAATCTAAAAGTAACAATATAAAATTCAATGCACAAATTTTGCGCTTTAGAGAGTACTGGGAGAGGTATTATGCTTGCAAAAATTGAGACATCCGAACATAGTGATGTATTACGGAGCGTGGGAGAAGAACAATCACAGCTACATTCTCATGGAGTACGCGACTCGGTGTACTCTCAAGGATTTGCTGGAAAATCGAAAAGTACCCCTTAAGGAAGAGGTAATTCTGCTTCGCAATCCGTCATCTACACCTAGCGTGTGTTTATCGAAAGCGATTTTTTTGTTTTGTCAAAGGACGCGCTCTATTTGTTTTCGCAAATTACACTGGGAGTGCATCATATTCATTCGAACAAAATTCTTCACCGGGACTTGAAACCGGAAAATATTATGTTGACTGGCAGTCGCGGAGATATCGTTAAAATCGGCGATTTCGGTCTTTCCAAGAACATCGTAGAGTACGTATATCGACAAGAGTATGTGTGTGTACGATTTGCACGATGAATACAAAATTTAGTGTTTTTTTCTCTTATTATGTTTTTTAGAGATTCGATAACTTCTCATGCGGGATCTTACTATTATATGGCTCCGGAAGTGCTTGCTCTGCAGCCGTACGAACTTAAATGCGATATATGGAGCATGGGTGTTATACTCTACGAAATGATTACGAAGAAACTCCCATTTCCGGCTACGGTAAATTACGTAACCGCATTAATTACAAAAAATAGCCAAAGTATAAAATATACTGTACTGTGTATAAAAAAAAAGATTCTCTTAAAAAAAGTTGTACATTTATATAAAATGTACCTTTGTACTTAAAAAAAAAAAAATATATTTTTTTAATGTCAACTAAGATAACAATATATAGTTTTATTTTTGTTAATTATTTTTTTAGAGCTTAGCGGAAATTACGAGATTGGTGCACAACTGTCCGCCAGAACCCTTGCCGCACCGAGTCTCAGCAATTGTCGTGAATCTAATATCGAAGATGCTGAGAAAGCAGATATCGTTTCGACCTCGCACCGATCAGCTTGTGCTTTGCCCCTTTCTTGCTCCTTACATCGTCCGCGTGTATCTGAATCTCGGACGTAGAATTAACATTGCCGAACGGGAACGCGAGAACTTTAAATCGGAAATTTTCTTAAAATTTCTGAATTTAAATAATAAAGATTGTAATCACAACAATAATTCGATATACGAGCAATCTCTTAAGGAATAGAAAATGTTGTAGTATATAATAGGAATTTGTTTTTGTGTAAAGTTGCACGTTAAATAATTTTAATAGAATGACTAGAACGGATTCTCAGAAAAAAGTGCTCTTATGACACATTTAAAGAGATTTTTATTAGATTTTAACAAGAGAGAGAGAGAGAGAAAGAGAGAGAGAGAGAGAGAGAGGGAGAGAGAGAGAGAAAATTAATATTCTTTAATTAAATTGACATAAACAAAGTTATCTTTATTTATAGTATTATATTATTTGTATCTCGATTTTTTCTCTCCATATTATATATCTTATAAAAACCAATTATTTGTTAAACAAAGTTAACACGTCTCTTGTATGATGACCGTGTAACAGAGAGAAGACTATACAACTTAAATTATGTATTACCACGATCTCGCGTTTATGTTTTTATGTAAATTGATTTTATATGTGATAAATTAGAAATAATCTCATATTTTATAACATATTGTAAATAACAAATGTGTCATGTATTCCAGTTGTGTAATAATCATAGAAGGAAAATTGAATTATATAAACCATTTGAAAATCATTATATACGCGCTATACAACATCTATATACATATTTGTTGTCTCAATACGCGAAACCGATTTACCGCTAATGTGTGGAAATAGATTTTAATCTCGGTATTACGGCACTCTGCCTCGATGGAATCTCATTGTTCGACGGGTTGCCGTCGAACGAACAGATTCCCCCGAACACACAGGAAGAAGCGTAACAACCGGAAGCTGAAGCCGGAACAGTGTAGACGCACTTTTATTTGGTTTTGATACTGTGATCCTGGAAAACCGTACAGTTCGCATCTTGTTAGTAGACAGATATCACACTCTGCCGGTCGCATAATTGCCATCCAAACATTTCCTCGCAACGGCGCGAGAAATGAACCAATCGTTCTGAAAATCGAAGAGTTCAGTTCGAGAAGAGATAAACTACCGAGAACATCTAATAGATATTTCGTATTTAAAGTTGTGTATGTGTGAACCTGGCCGATGATAAAATTCTCTTCTTGCGCGCGAATTTTTTTCTATCTGATCTTTCTACCACCTAATATTGTGATGGTTCGTTTAGTTTGTTATCCATTTAAAACTGTTGTCTTTCGTATACTTCAAGTGTGAGAAAACCTATTAAATGGAACGAGCGAGAGATCAAAAACGAGATATTTTTCGAAGGATTTCTATATTTAGATCGTCTCGGGAGTAGAATTGATCGAACACATCTACCGCCATCAATCTTGCTCTGTTTACGAATCATCATCCTTTCCGCACAGGAAAAAGTAATTCCGTTAGAGAATTCGATGTTAAAACTATCGTTCATGAATTTTGAGAATTTCGATAATCGAGTAACGAACGACACATGACGCGCACACGTATAAGTTTCGTGATATTAAATAAGTGCTTCACAGATTAAATTCGAATAGTGCATCAACGTGTACACGAACATGTGGTGGATCTTGTTATTGAGTTGCTGGCAGTGTCCCTTGTCATGGAGCATGACTTGGTATCCACTGGCTCGTTTGAACACGATGCTTGGAGAACAGATCGATCTCGTGGGTGCCAACAACGCGACATACGCACCCTGGATAAGGAGTACCGCGAACAACGGAGTCAATGACGCGGAATCTATCGATTCCGGACAGTCTCCTGTTAATTCCGTCGATCGTGATCGCGAACCGCTAGACGAAGTGGAGCGGATCGAGCCTAGGCAGTGGCCGGGTCGGCCGGATATCCTGCCGACCCGCAGCACCGCGCCTTTCACCACGGAGGGGTCTCTATTGCCCAGATTTCCGCAGCCTACCACGTTGGCGCAAAGAAACCCTTCCACGCAAAGGTTTTTTCTTCTTTTGTTATTTATAATTAATTTTAGATAAAGATTCTTTACTGCAGAAATGCGCGAGAACAATCGGACAATTTATAAAATCGATCATTAAATTAATTATAAGTCCAATAACCGGTACATCATAAGCGCTCTCTTGTATATTACCTGCATTGTTATTTATAAGATATCCTACGATTACTGCACCACCTCCAACGGTCGTCATCGACGAAGCTATCTGCGATTTTGAACCCAATCCGTCGATGCCGCTTTGCGAGTGGCAAAATGGTAACGGCGCTTTAGATTGGACTCTGGGTACCGGAATAAACACAAACTGGCTAGGTGGACCATCGATGGATGCCAGTGGCACTATGGAGGGAGGGTAAAAAACTATTGATGAAATTTGTCATTTGTTTTGGTTTGTATCTAAATAAATTTCTCATTTAACATTTGTAAAATAAATACTTTTGAATATAAATATAATTAGATACGCTTTTCTGGAGACATCGCAAATACCTTTGAAGAACATAAAATTCAAGAGTCAAGGAGGTCTTTTGCACAGTCCTCAGTTAGGCAGCACAGGAGTAACCGGTACTTGCTTGATGTTCAAATACGCAATGGACGGTCTGAGCATCGCGGGATTGCGCGTACTGCTCCACGTTGGAGCTGACGAGTTCTCATTCAAGAAGGAACAACCCGAAGAACTGCCCGTAGAAAATGTCACATCTCCCGCATCCTGCGAGCCGGAAGTTGTGGAAGTTGCGGAGGAACGTGTACTATGGCACGCGCAATATTATACGCTCGGAGTGTGGCAGGATACTCAAATACTCTACACTTATCCCGAATTACATTCGGTACAATATTATAATTTGATCTTTAATTCGTGGTTCTTCTATGAACTTTCAACGTTTTGTGTAGACAATATTTGTTTTGTTACATAAATCAGTGAAAATTCTTAAAACTTACTGTTAGGTGGTTATCGAAGGTATACCGGTAGACTCCACAGACCCCTCACGTCTATATCGTGGATACATCGCTATCGATGACATAGATCTGCAGTCTGGCACGTTGTGCACTGGATTTTGCAATTTCGCAGGTGGCTTCTGCGACTGGAACAATGACGCGGAAGACGATTTCGACTGGACCATAGTGAGTTCTCGCGCTAAAAAAAAGCTTAATTATTCGATCTTCAAAAATGTGCTTTTTAAATTCCATTATTCTCTCTCTCCATTTGTGTAGAATTACCAACGTTGCCTAAAACTGTCGTTTAAAAAAAATCATACTTTTAGAGTCGTGGCAGCGCAAATCCCGCGACCGGTCCGGCGATGGACAGTTCAAGCGATCGTGCCACAGCCGGCGGTTACGCTTTCATCGATTCAAGTTTTCCAAGAAGGCCCGGTGACACGGCAAAATTATTAAGCTCGACCTTTTCAATGACGAGCGCGGACTCGCCGATGTGCATGCACTTTTGGTTTCACATGTTTGGGTCCGGAGTTGGCTACTTGAAGCTCTTCATACGTCATTTTCGCAGTTCGGACAATCAACTCCAGGAGATATGGGGTCTGTCCGGGAACGCCGGTAACGCTTGGTTCATGTCGCAAGTCACAATCAGTTCTCTCGACGATTTCCAACTGGTTTTCGAAGCGTCAGTGGGGAATACCGGTATGGGGGATATCGCTATCGACGATATCTCGTACGGGCGAGGTGCCTGTCCCGGTAAGTAAACCGACTGATGCGATCAAACTCGGTGTTATCTGATTCAAATCAATTTTTTAATTTTCAATTTAAAAGTTTCACCGCAAGTGGCCGGTCCAATACCTCGGGATTGCACGTTCGAGGTCGACGAGTGTGACTGGATCAACTCGCGAGATCCGGATCGTGTCGAGTGGGAAAGAGTGTCCACCCAGGTGTTAGGACCGAGAAATCAGAGGAAGCCGTACAGCAACGGTCATACTGTTAATAGACGCAACGAATACTTTTTGGGACTTGGACGTCTTCGGGGAGGTCCACGATCTTCGGGCGGTGGCACCGCTCAGCTTGTCAGTCGAGAAATGACGGGTTCCGAAGAACCGTTGTGCATCACATTCTGGTACTTCATGTTCGAACCGTTTATCGATTCCACGGGACCTAGCTTGGGTAAACAAAAACAGAGTCTCCTAAAGAAGATCAAAAGATATTTATTCAGCAAAATTGAGAGAAAAGTTTTTAATTTTATAGGTGTTCTGAGATTGTATGTTCAAGCAATCGGTGATCTCTCGACAGAAGCGAAGCCAATATGGCAACTGTACAATAATCAAGGTCCTACGTGGAACTACGCTCAGGCTAGCATTACTGAAAAAGCAAATTTCAATATCATAATTGAGGGCATTTGGGGTCCGAACAGAGCAAGTGGTAACATAGGAATCGACGATATCGCTTTTTATATAGGAGATTGTAGCGGTAACTACATTTGTTTTATTTTTTTTCTTTCTTCCTTCTTAAATGGATATGTTCTTTTCTTGATACCATCTAAACGGATTAAGAACCCATCATCTATTAATTGCATGTGTAGTGAAGCCACTTGGTGCGACCGTTCGTGCGGAAGACTGCAGCTTCGAAAAAGGTCTATGCGGTTGGGAAAATATAACCGCTTCCGATGACAATCGAGCCGTGATGTGGCAGCGCGCGTTTCTTACCCATCGACCGGCCCAACTGTTGGACAGAACTTTTGGCGCGACAGGCGAATTCGTGTTCTTTGACATATTCACAACAAACAAAGAATCGACAAAGGTTCAGTTGCGATCTCCGGTCATCGCTGTCTCGCCTGATGAAGAGTTCGTATGTTTCACCTTCTGGTTCGCTGCTTTTGGCGTGGAAGAGTCTACTGCTTTGCGGGTGATCAAAGTACCTGCTGAAGATGGCAATGAAGATAACGAAAACGAACAAGAACAATCGGTATGATTATTACACAAAAATAAATGTAATTATTTCACGTAATATTATGGTGAGACGGATGATATAATTTCATTTGCTTCCGAATCTGCTATTTCATCTGTTTTGCAGTTGTGGTCACTGACAGCCAAGGGATTCAACACTCCTCGACCGGTGTGGATGGCGGCCCAAGTAACGATTGAAGCGCGAACTTCATATCGACTTATTCTCGAAGGAAGCGCCAGCAATGGAGGCTTCGCCGTTGACGACATAAAGTTTCAGCCTCTGGCTTGCGAAAGTAAAAATAAAGTAGAAACTTCGGTAATAACTATGCAAACGCATATAATACAACAGATTGTTACATATTCTTTTTTTTTTTTTTCAGTTAGACCTACTAGTGCACAACCAGTCGAAACCGAGGCTTCGCAATAAACGAGACTGCGTAGTAAATGCGAAATTTCTCATAACATTAGAATGTTTTCGCAGATTATCGTTATTAATATTTATATATATTATATATTTTTCTTTCTATAATACTAATAAAATAACATGCAATAAAAATTCTTAAAACAAATTATCCTCACAAGTCACTTACTTGTGATTCAAATACTTGTTGATCAAATATGTTTGAAAAGTATTTGCAAAATATTTTTTTTTTTTTTTTTTTTGTGCTTTTTCACTTATAATTAAAAAAGATAATATAAAAATCACGTATATTCAATATATTACGTATATAATGACAAATTGTATATAATAATTCTGCCAAAGAAATCAGTACTTTGATTGAACACAAACTTAAAAGTTTTAGCTCTGATCTGATTCTTCAAATTAAATCGTTGTAGTTTATTTATATCCTTTGGTCGAAAAGCTTCTATTATTGACATATTTTTCTCATCACTACCAGCTTCCACATGACAATCTTTCCCAGCAAATCCACCCTGGAATTCTATTTCAAAGCTAGAAACATTGCATTCTTCTTCAAAATTAATGAGCACCCATTGTGGACTTCCCTGGTAATATTTACAGTTTTATTATTATCAAATCATATTATTGAATTGGTGTATAAAGTGTTAATTCTTAAAAAAGTTCAATCACTTACTGAATCGGAATTCCAACATGTTTCATCAGATTGATCGAACATATACTTCTTTCCATAAGATCGAACATTTTTATTTAGCACTGAACTAACTCTGTAAGTAAAACAAAATTATTTAATTATTAATCGAAAAAAACATATGACCTCCGTATCGGAGGTATAATATTAATATTAAAATCAATTATTTTGAAGAAAAGATTCCAGTTTACTTAGTTATAAATGTATAAATTTGTCTCTAACACTACATAGATATTTTAATTTAGAGATAAATAGAAGTAAGACTTACCGGCAGTCAAATTTATTTGTTTCTAACAACGAAGGCATATCAACGTTTTTACCTATTATTTACAAAGTTTTATTGCAATTTTGTTGCATTTCACATAGAATGTACAAACATTCGATCTATAGGTTAGAATAACGGTAATTCAGGTTAAGTAATATTGAGTTTAATAAAAACTATACCAATCATAATAAATTATCGCAATTATAGTAGCTGCTAATACACAACGTTGTAAAACAACTTCTCATCTCAACTCTATTGTGTTAATTTCACTTGATCGTATGTGCTATCATGTTTTAAATTTGGAGCACAAAAATAGAACGAGTTCCAGTTAGCACTTTAGCAGTCCAGAGATGCCAGTTTGCGGACGCTAGCAACATGCAACAGCAAGTGGAGGGGATACGCACACAGGCGAACAGCCGTGTACGTGTGTGCTCGGCGCTTCGGCCAGCTTCGAGCAGTAGAGAGACGGACATATATAACCGCTCTCTTTCTTTCGCTATAGCTATAGCTATAGCTAACTGCCAGCCGCGAGAAGCGTGCCTAGCCTAGTTGCTAGCCCGTTTCTTATGCGTGGCTTATGATATGTTCCTTCTCTCTTTCTCTTTCTCTTACTCTCTCATACTTACATGGGCTGCGTTTCGATCTTCACTGCCGGTACTTCACATCTACAGCACATGTGACGTAAAGTATAGATTTGTAGTACTGGCAGTGGATATCGAAACACAGGCTAAATAAATCTGAAAATGCGTAATATTATGTGCCAAAAAGTAATAACAATAAAGTAGAATTTAATGTATTATACAAAATAGAATTTAATAT